AAAAAAAAAAAAAATTAAGTCGCTTAAAAATAAAAGCAAATGTTCTTAACCTTACATCTTTGAGGGTCCAAATCTGTGATTCCCTTAAAATTGTATTAAAATGTATGGGATACAGTATATGTATTAAAGTGCATGCTTACTGTATAAGATATCAGTTCCATAGGTTACATTGACTAGTGATAACACAGCCATCTTAGTTTGTGTAAGTGCTGTGACATTCCCACAATGACAAAAGTGACAACACATTTCTCAGAACTTGTCCCATTATTAAGTGACACAATTGTGTCATATAGGTGCATTTTTTAAGGAAAAGAGTCCACAGTTTCAAGCAGATTTAGAGGGATCACTGATCCAAAGATTGAAAACCTAATTTTGATAGGTTTGTTTCTTTGACCCGTTTAAGGTAAGCTATTGTTTTGCCCTTGCTCCACATGTCTGAAATATTTAACATTTAAACACTCTTTTTCTCCCTAATACAGTCTACCTTTTTCTTTTACATGACATTTTTTGGTAATCTGGTTAAGTTGTTTTTCTTAAGAACTTAAGTGAGAATTCTTTAATTCTTAAATGAACTCTGGTCATTACATGCCTGACCATAGGATTTCAAATAAAATTACTTGTCAGAAATGCCTTTTTTATGCCACATACTTGAGCTTTCGGAGCATGTGTTTTGGCTGTTTAGCAAAGAAACATAAGTTTTGTGTGTCTGTGTTAACTGCTCTCTAACAGTCCCAGGACATTACAAGTGCTGAATAAAAATAGCGACTCACCAAATAAAAAGGAGTGTTCAGCGTTTAAAGAAAATAAATGTAATGAAAGAGTTCTACATTCTGCATAAAGTGTCACCATTCAGTCACACATTTGTCCGAGTTCTTTTAAAAGCTCAGTGGTGACACTGATACTGGTTATTTTCTATGGAAAATAAATGAGTGGTTTTGTTATTGTCACTGTCAGAAATAAAGGGGGGGGGAATTTTTAATCTAATTTTCTGGGCAGAGAGTAGTTCTGGCATCAGCACCCTAAAGGAAAGCACTATATATAACTGGGTATTTCCCACCATGATTGGTGTTGGCTTGAAGTACTCAGGTCCAGAAAGGACTTCATACAGGAAAGTTCAAAACAGGTCATTGGATTTAATTCTCAATGATCCTTGACTTAAACATCCAAATTGAGTTATATTTTTAATTTCAAGAAAAACTTACTCCCCAGTGATAAAACAACTGAAGCAGTAGAAACAGATGGGCGACCTAACAACATGTTCAAAATCACAAAAGCAAAGACAGCTGCAGATGCAGATGGATGAGAGTTGAAGGACACTTCTGAAAGGTCAGGGAACAGGAGGGAGAGAAATCCACCCCGGGCAAAGGAGCTGGAAGTGTACATATTAGAAAAGAAAAGAGAGAACGAAGCCTGGCACCTGACCTAGAAGCTCTCCACAGGCTAGCCTCAGCAAACTCTAGAGTTCCTGAGAAAAACAGATTGCAAACTCCTATCATGAAACACCGATGAGGCCAGAAATGTCAAACGGGGCTTTTGAGACCGGCTCATAATTCCAGTCGAAACGGCGCAGCAACCATTGCGGCAGGGCATGGACTGCCAAAAGTTGAGGCCAGGAAAAAGCTGCCCACGATGGATGACAGCGGCTTGAGACGGGGATTACTGGATGGAATCCCTGCAGTGATGCGAGACGGTTCTGAGTTGAAGAGCTAAGTTGAAAGAGCTTGGGGAAACCATTCCAAAGACACTCGGTCTCCTGTCCCTTGTCCTCACACGTACAGGGCACTCGCACCCATTACTCTTGATCCCTAAAATGACTCAACCTCCGCCTTGAGTGTGCGGCGAAATCCCGAGCTTCTTGCTTCATCCCGCGCAAAACCCTAGGACCCCTCGAAAAGCCCGGGGCTGTGACAGGCGAGCAGGCTCGGAGGCGTGGCGCGGGCGGGCGCAGCCAAGAGCCCCCTCCGGCGACGGCCGGGAACCTGCGCGCCCAGGTGACTGCCAGGGCGCGGTCTCGGGAGGGAACAGCCGTCCGCTCGGCCCTGCACGCCGGCCGCACCTCCGGGCCTCTCCTGTCCTTTCGAAGCTGGAAAATCAGGAGAAAAGTTACGAAGTCCACGGAGCGCGGAAACGGTCCTCCGAGGACGCAGCCGGCGGCCCGCGGGCACCAACCCAGCCCGCCGGACAAAGGCGCTCCGGGCGGCGCGCGAGGAGGAGCTGGGGTGGTGGAGGAAGCGCTGCCCCGGCGGGGAAGCAGCTGGGGACTTCATCCCGGGCCATTTCCTGAACGGAACCCGGCCCGGGCGGGGGCAGCACCGAGCGGCAGGGGTGGGCGCGGGCGCGGTACCCACCGGTTCCTCCCAGGCCGGGCTGCGGACGCCCGGCGCAGGGCGCACGTGCTGCGGCTCCATCGCGCCGGCCCT